CAAAATCCAGACCTCAACCCGATTGAAAAACTGTGGTGGGACCTTAAGAGAGCTGTGCATAAACAAAGTGTAACAGTCACCAGGGGACTTATGGAACAGTTTACCAGGAGTTGGAGCCCAGTTGCAGGAGATGGCACAGGAAGCAGGCAAAATCCTAAACACAGTACAGATTAAGGGGAAATCCAAAGGCAGGGTCAGATGAGAAGCAGAAGTCAGGGATGGCAGCGGAGTAACGAAGTCGGTAAATCAGGCAGAGGTCAGAGTCCAGGAAATCAGTCAGTAGCAAATCAAAGACCCGGCAAAAAACACCAAACAGGCAAAATGACCAGATACTAGGTCTCAGGCAGGACTAGGTGCAGCTGACCCTAATTGGAAAAGGGCTGCAGGTGGATCAGTGCTGCTTAATCCAGGGCAAGGTGGTCAGGAAGCAGAAAAATGCAAACAGAAACTGAAGCCCCCTGGTGGACAGCACAGCAGAGAACCTGGCTGGGTTTGAACTCACAGCTCCAGCATCCCAATCAGGTTCTCTGCCGTGCTGTCCACCAGGGGGCATCAGTTTCTATTTGCATTTTCTGGTCTCTTAAAGGGGCAGCCACGCCTTGCTGTCTGCAGGGCTCGTGTTGTGCCGTGACACAAAGCCAGCACACTTCAATGAACTGAAGCAACATTGTAAAGAAGAGAGAGACAAAAACCCTCCACAACGATGTGAGAGACTGAAAAAGTCATACAGAAAACAATTACTTAAAGTTATTACTGCTAAAGATGGTTCTACAAGCTGTTGCGTCATAAGGTATACTTAGTTTTTCACACATGGCTTCTCCATTTTGGCTTTATTTTTGTTAAATAAAATGGTGTAATATGTCATGTGTTGTTGTTCACCTGAGGTTGTATTTACCTAATTTTAAAACCTGCTAAGGAAATGCTGATTGCTATGTCCTGATATGTAAAACCATAGAATTCAAAGAGGGTGTATTTTCTTTTTCCAATGACTGTAATAGATACGTATGTAAAGAAGTTGTTGATCCAAAGAGAAATCTGATTGCCATTATGGGGTCAACTGGATCTATGTGTGTGTTTTGTTTTTTGCCCTCTTTTGGATCAACATAGACAATGATGTAACTATGATCGGGGTGACAGAATGTTGATCACCGACACTGGATGCAGGGGGACTGGCAGGGATGCCAGGCAGAGCCCCAGACCGCGATAGGAGTGCAGAGCAAGTGTTCAGGCTGGAGAGAGGACAAATCATTAGGGCGTGCTATGCTACCATAACATTGTTTTAAAGCCCTCTTTTTGTAGGACGGCATAGCACGCCCTAATGTAAGGAAGGGGTTAAATTAGTAAAATAAAATCACATCTTGATATAATAATTGAGTTCTGTATTAGCACACACAATAAAAATGCAGTTCTGCTTTCAAATTAGTTTTGATAGTTTTCAAACATGTCCCATAGTCTAGAAATGAGTACCACAAGTACCATGGAGTTTAGGAATAATAACACTGACCTTGAGACACTAAGGCTTGAGTAAATACTACAGCAGATCCAGCACTGACCATTTAAATACAGTATATAAAACTGCTCCTATGATTAGAATAAATATCGCGTACATTAAATTCACAGTCCATGTACATGAGGGAATTCTTTCTATGCATAGGGAATCAGTCATGAAGTTGGAATCTGTCCTGTTAAATATGAAAACGTTACATGACAGGAGGACTCTGTATATGAATAAGAAACATGTCCTAGTAAACATGGTGATTCTATCTATGAATAAGAATCCTATCCTGGTAAATAAGGAACATATCCGGGTATACAGGGTAATTCTGTATATGAATAAGAAACCTGTCCTGGTAAGCAGGGAGATTTTGTCTATAAATAAAGAAAACTGCTGGTAAATGAAGAATGAAGGATATCGATCTATAAATTAGAGGCCTTTGTGGCAAATACCAGAATCATATTTAGGAATTTGAAATTCATGATCCGGAGAGAGTTCAGCTGTCTTCAGATGAAAATAGGTCATTCATGTAATCCTTATGGGTGGCATTTATTCTGTTCTGAAAATGTATGTGACTCCAACCTTACCTATTGCTGTCTACTATCAGAAAGAGTACAGTTATTTGCTGGCTATTCTGTAAATAAAATGTCCTACACTTTGTTCTAAAGAAACCCTTTTCTACAAATTAACACAGATTTATCTTTTGTACATTTCCCCCCAGACTGTAAAATCAAGACACTGTGGAAGCAGGGGAGCAGTGGTTTGCTGCGCAGTCAGAGCTGGCACCAGGACCCCTTAATCCCAGAGAGTTTAGCCAGAGCTGAGAAGGATTTGGAGATTACCATTTAATGTGCTGATTAACAGTGTCTCACTTATGGACTAAAAACCTATATAGAAATATATATAACTCTGCTACTGATTGAAAGATGCTGCTTAACGAGAAACTGCACAACTAGAGAATTTGTCCTCACATCTGTATACCTTCTCTGGAAGAAAATCTCTGAAAGAAATTATCCATGTTACCAGTGAGCAATTTACTATACAGGGCATAGATGAAGCAATATTTATGTTTGAAACAAAATAGTTTAGACAGACAGACTAACACCAACTTGGTCTGTACCCAGATGGTCAGCACATGCTTTGTTCTGGACAAGTAGAAATCTAGTCATTCACCATGCCACTTTTATATACACAGATGACTAATCATTTGGCTGTCTAAGTTACTGGCAAGGAGTCAGTGGCGTACATACCAGGGTTGCGGCTGCGACACGGTATGTATGCCACGGTGGCCAGCCTCTTCTCCTGGGGGGGCCCAGGAGCCGGCCACCTCAGGGCCCCCCGAGGCTGGCCCTGGTGTCATCCGGTGGGCAGGCAGGCTCGCGGGCGCGTGAGGGAGCACTGTTCCCTGTGTGCTCCCTCTTCAGCTCCCTCGCGCGACGCACTGATACCGGAACCAGAATATGACGAGGGAAATAAAGAGGGCGCACACAGGGCACAGTGCTCCCTCGCGCGCACGCCAGCCTGCCCACCCGGTGACTGGCCGCCCCGGAGCCCAGCAGCACCACTGGACCCCAGGGAATCCACGCAGCACTCTAAAAGGTAAGGAGGCTGAGGGATTAAATAAAAAAAAAAACGTGTGTGTGTGTTAGTATGTGTGTGTTAGTGTGTTTTAGTGTTAGTGTGTGTGTTAGAATGTGTGTGTGTTAGTGTGTGTCTGCTAGTGAGTGTCAGTGAGTGTGTCTGTTATTGAGTGTGTGTCTGCTAGTGAGTGTCAGTGAGTATGTCTGTTATTGAGTGTCTGCTAGTGAGTGTGTCTGTTATTGAGTGTGTGTCTGCTAGTGAGTGTGTTACTGTGTGTGTCTGTTACTGAGTGTGTTTGTGTGTCAGTGAGAGTGTATGTTTTGTGATTGTGTATGTATGTCTGTCGCTGAGTGTGTCTCTGTCAGTAAATGTGTGTCTGTTAGCTAGTGTGTATGCGTCTGTTTGTGAGAATGTGTGTGTGTCTTCAGCACTTACCTTTCTCCAGCGGCGGACTCCCTTGGCACTGGGGATCCCTCCGCCTTTCAGCTCCAAATGCGCATGCGCAGCAAGAGCCGCGCGCGCATTCAGACCACCTGTAGGAAAGCATTACTCAATGCTTTCCTATGGACGTTCAGTGTCTTAGAATCGCAGAAACTCTTCTAGCGGCTGTCAATGAGACAGCCACTAGTGGCTGGATTAACCCTCAGTGAAACATAGCAGTTTCTCTAAAACTGCTATGTTTTCAGCTGCAGGGTTAAAACTAGAGGGACCTGGCACCCAGACCACTTAATTGAGCTGATGTGATCTGGGTGTCTGTAGTGGTCCTTTAAGTGTGTGGGCATCTGCATGCACTGGCGTACATACCGCGGTCGCAGGGGTCGCAGCCCTGCAACCCCTGTGACCAGGTGCCCGCCGCCATGTGTTGCGGCCCTGGCCCGTGCAGAGTAAGGGGGAGGAGGCACGGATCAATTTTCGCAGCAGGGCCCCAATGCTCATGGGTACGCCACTGCAAGGAGTCCATGGCAATGTGGAAGGGAAGGCCACAACTTACCAGGATCTTCATTTTAGTGTAAAAAAAACCTCCCAAAACTAGGGGTCAACTAATACACAGAAGACAAAGTTGTTGATATATAGCCAAGATGAATATAAGGCACAATGCAATGCTTTCACTCTTTTCATACTATAAAATTTCAGACATGATTACCATCACTGTTATTGAGTACACTTAAGTGTCTTTATTTACTCTTTATATTTATACTAAAATGTCAGGAGATCTAGCACATGACATTACCACTTGCAGTATAGTATCATTCATATGTAAATACAGCTGACTGGCTAGAGAGATATACGCATGCCAGCGATTGCCAATAAAGGACACTACACTAAAATGTTTTGTTTGTTCACATTTAAATTCTGACTATATTTTTAATCAATCATATAAATGGACAAAGTAAGTAAAACAACATTTAAATGTTATATGAAATTGGCCTATTTGCTGACTTCTGTTGCCTAGATTAGGCCCAAATCATATGCATACAAATTCGCAGGCCTAGTTTAGGCTCATAAGCTGCAAATTTTTAGGCAGTGGTCAACTTATCCTGCAAATATTTGCCTAAAAATATATTAAACCCTTAATTTCCAGGTGTAGACTTTTATGCCAGATTGATTTATGCATTAGCATACATTTAATCAGAATTGGCACAATTGATCAACTCCAACTCTGGTAACCTAAAAATTGCTTCCAACTCTGCAACATGGCTTACTGGTGCTGCCTTCTGTTACAGGGGGATAAAGGGATCAAGTTAGTTTAGACTATTCTTTATGTACTCAAATACTCAAATAGAAATAAACATAATTTACTCTATCACACACTATCAAGCAAAGTTCTTTATTATATTAATGTAAACAGTGACCTATACAAACACTGTCACACCATTATATTTCTAGTAATAGGGCTTATAGCAATACATTCATGTTTGTACATTTACTCCCACAAAGCACAGGGTGAGTTTGGGACAAGCTCCTGAGTGACAGAGGAATAATTAGTGAAATTTATTGTGTGGGATAAACGAATGGGACCAAGTTTAGTTGGCTGCTTTTTGGCCTGGGTGTCTGGGACATTCTCTGCCTGTGTTTCACCCGGACAATACTTGCGCTCAGACTTTCCAGCACCCTGTCTGTGCCAGGCCTGTGGTACTGCCAAGAGAACAGAGCTTGTTCCAGCTCAGTGGGCAGGACAGACTCACAATTAAAGCAAATTTAAACTCCTCACTGATTCTCCTTTGCTGCAGAGAACAAGAGGAGAGGTATGGGAGGTTCCAGCTGGATGCTGACCCCATGCATGAGTGCTGCTGTCTGCTAGTCAGCTTTGGGAAACGGTCACAAAGTGTCAGGGAGAATGACATGACAGCAGAAGGGATAAAGAGTGAAGGAGAAAAGAGGGGAAGAATAGGCTCTGCATTGAGATGCAAGAGTCATGGCAGCGCACACATTGGGCCATAAAGTGTGCAATGATTCAGGCTATCAGGAAGTAGGTGTAATAAAGTATAATGCATTGTTAGTGAGAGCACAAATAGCTTTTTCCTAAGGATTTTAGGAAAACATTTGTATTACAGAGCTGCATTAAGACCATTCGTAATAGTAATTATTTTCTACAGAATGCACAATTACTTCCAGTAGGTGAGAAATTAAGAGGTGCGGGACTATAGCAGAAAAACTTATTGGTAGGTTGGCAAGACACAATAGGAGGAGTTATTTAAAAACCACTGCATGGCACAATAGGTGGAGTTACACAGAGCAATAGGAGGAATTACAAGAAGAGGCTATACAGGAGACGTTATATAAAGTAATATAAGAAGTTACAAATAGAGAACAGTCATTATATATAGCAATAGGAGGAGTTTAGATAATATAAAGAGTTAGAGGCAGGTGTTATATTGAGTATAAGGTGCAAGAGAAGGGTTTCTAAGTAGAAGTTGTATGTTGCAATAAGAGGGATTTTAACCCTTTAAGGACACATGACATGTGTGACATGTCATGATTCCTTTTTATTCCTGAAGTTCGGTCCTTAAGGGGTTAAAGGAGTAATAAATGGAATGATAGGAGGGTTTGTTAGGGACATGTTGACTGGAGAAAGAAGAGGAGTTAGAGTGAGGACATACATAGTGAAAACAGAAGGTACAATGAGTCAGTGTATGCAAAACTATTTATATATAATGCATCACTCTGTGCAGTACATAGACATATACACATCTGTTGTTTATTCCATATATATTTATTTTATTACCTTGTCCTCTAGACGCATAAGCCTTGCACCAACAGTATAAAATCCCTTATCCAGTCCTTTCTCTGTGGGAAACAGGACAAGAGTATAATTTGCATTTTGTCTGCCTCCTGTTGTCCCCCTGCACCCTATACTGTAAATTTAGTTACATGGACTTCTCTTATTCACTAAAGTCAGAATAGATTCTGAAATAGCAATTGCCTGCAAAAATCACTAGATTTTCATCAGATTTGCAAATGATATATTTACAAATGGCTATTCGAGGGTAAATTTGGTAAATCTCTCTGAATGTATGCATCTGAATTAGAACAAATGTAGAACAAATCCACAACCCATACCCAATGCAAAGTATAGAATATGGATATTGATCAATCCCTGAAAAGGTGCTACGTTTTCCCTGCTCACCCATTCACATTATAGACAGCAATGTTTGTGTTAAACACTCCAAGCACCTAAAGGACTTCAGTTTGCTGAATTAAAAAGTTTTTCCCATTTTATAAAATGTGCAGATTTCCACAGAAATTAGAAAATGTATAAATGAACCTTGTTACACCCCCCTAGCTGTCAATCAGACAACCAGCCATGTTACTTCCTCGTTTGTTTAGTTCAGAGGAGCTAAACTCAGGAGGGAAAAATAGCTCAGAGCACTTGCCTTGCATCGACTTCTCACTGAGCTGCATAGGTAATTTTGTGATTGGACAGCCATATAACGTCCTGGCTGGGTTAGAAGGGGAGGGCTTGCAAAGGCTGCAGACAAGAGAGTTGCAGATTTTGCACTGTTTTTAGATATACCCCCAATGAAAAAAAGGCATAATGAAATGCATGCATGTTTTCATTGGGGGTATATCTACTAAAATGCATTTTTTTGTATTTGGGACGTGCAGGGTCCCTTTAGTAAAAGAACAGCAGTGATTTTCTATTGTTAAGCTCACATTGTCATTTGCTTTCATGTATTTATCTCATGTGTAACTATTTCATATCTGTGTACAACTTGTTTGGCCAAACTCCATGTAGCTTAATTGTTGTCAGGTGCCAATCATTATCATCAGCATTTATTTGATAAAATTCAAAATGAGCACCAGAAAGTTCAGAACCATTCAGATTGACTGACAGTTGTCAGTCCTTAAGGACACAACTTCTGGAATAAAAGGGAATCATGACGGAATATTTCCGTCATGTGTTCTTAAGGGGTTAAGGAATTGTCTTGTTAAATTGAGAGTGATATATTTTGTGAAATAAAATACAGATGTTTGTCTCTGAATGCCTTAGGACTATCCTGAACACTTTCCCCGGTTTTGGTTAGCTAACTTTTTTGTGTACAGTGAAGGGCATCAGTGTTGGAATTGCTGGACAGTCTTGTGTACATTGCTGTCTATCAGCATTTAAATAGTTGAACACACTTCGTGTACAGGGCTGGGTATCAAAGTTGGAATACTTTAATAACCCATCTGTATGATGTTTGCAGCATTGTATAATGCTGAACTAGTTATAGGGTCCAGACACAAACGCAGGGTCCAGACACAAACGCAGGCTATCGTGGAACAACCTAACACAACACAAACATGCTGAAAGACTTGTACCTGGTAGGAAAAGACGAGGTTTTCCCAGTGAATGATCCAGTCTACAAGAAAAGAATAAACAGAAATCACATCAAATTCAGCAATTTTACTGGTTGTCTTACTAGGTTTCACTTAGAAAATACTGAAATCACTGAGCTGAGTCCTTGCAGTCCTAATTTTATTAAAGACACGGAGGCTCATATTATGCATAACTCTTTCTTTATTTCCTCAGCAGCAAAGAAAGAGAAATATAAATATTATCAAAACTGAAGAAAAAACTGTATAGGCACAACAGGTAGCCAATCACAGGGTATAGGAAGTAGCTATATAAGTCTTGTGTCTCCCACAATCCTCCTCTTTCTTTGCTGATTCCTCAGACAGATAAGTGTTTTCTCTGATCTCTGGCTTGCATTGTGATTCCATTTTGACTTGTCTTACAGTGTGTTTTCCTGTTATGATTTACATGCTGTTTTATTGTTATTTGTTTTATTATTTTTGCATTGGTTTTTGATGTTGTTCTGATTATTTTTTGTTTTCCTCGGCTGGTGTCTCCCCTCTGGGCCCGCGGGTGTGTCACTGCCCCGTCCGGGCGGTCCCCACCACCCCCCTCCTCTATCCCCTCTCCTACCCGTGCTTCTGCACAGGACCCGACCTGCTGTGCCGCGGCCGCGATCTCCTCGCGACCACGGCGGTGTACACGTTTCTCTCCTCCCCCCTTGCTCCAGATAGCGTGTCGGCTCGGTGGGCGGGTGCACGAGCCCCTTCCCCCGCCGAGTGTTTTCCTCGTGTGCCTCCCTCGTGCGGCGGCCATTTTGGGGGCGGTCTTTTGTATTCCTCCCAGTGCTGCCGTGCGAACGGCCACCTCGTAGCCCTGCTCCCTGGGGACACCAGCCAAAACGTTTGTTTTTCTGTATTTCCTTGTGGGTTAATCAACCCTTCCCTCTCCCTCCCAGCTAACACCCTGGTGTTATTCAGCCTTATTTGTTTGTAGTCAGTTCATTGCTCCCTATATAATTTCCATTGCATTAATTATTATTTTTTCTATTTAAATTCTCATTGGTCTGTCTATTCTGTCCCCCACTGTCACTACCATGCAGGATAGGGGTGATGGGCCTGTTGGTCCCCCAGGGGACTTCCAATTAGATAATACTGATGGTGCCATGGCCTCCCAAGAGTTCCAAGCCATGTTAGAGGCCACTATGGCTTCCTCCATCCAGAAGGCTATCGCCTCAGCCATGGGAGCTGTCTCCTCAAATTTTTCCCAGTCCCTGCACTCTCTGATTTTACCTGCCATGGCCACCCCTGCCCTCTCCCCTGCTCAAACCGTGCCTGGAGCCCGTAAGGCAAAGGCTAAATCCAAACATGTCGGCTCCCACTCCTCGATGCAGGTTTTACCTGCCATGACTGACACGCCTGAGGCGGTCTCAGATGGCGCGCACCCCACGCGCAAAAGAGCCCCTGGCCGGGCTAAAAAGGCTAGACTATGGAAAAGGGCTAGAGCCCATGATATTGGGTCGGATACCGACCGGAGTGTGGAGGATGAGTCCGACGCTATGGAGTACGACTCCTTTGATCATGATGATTCTGGCGAGGATTTGCCCCTTACGGGCGTGAACCCCTCCGGGTCCTCCGCCAATACCCGGGGCCCCTCACTTGCTCCCCCGGGGGGTGACACCTCGATCCTTGACCCACAGGGCAACCCCCTGTTTGACCCAGACGACCTACGTCATCCTCGGTCCGCCGAGTGGGTTCCCCCAGATCACATCGCCCAATATGTGGCTAAGCGTATCCGCACGCCACTTTCTAGGGAAGGCCGCAATAAATTGCGCGCCGAGTGCCCACGCCCGTCCCTCCCGGGCGCGGCTTGCAAAACCCCGGACATTGACCCGCAAATTGCTCAATTCCTGAATAAGTCAGGATGGAAGCCCAAGAAGGGCCTTGACCACTCCCTTAAAAGCTGCCAGGACAAGATCCTGGATACCCTAGGCCCCCTTTCCAAGCTTTACGAGCTTTTGGATGCTGCCAGGACCGGGGACTCCGTCCTGGACGTGGATGTGGCCATTGGTTGGGTCCAAAGAGCTATTTGCTTACTGGGGAACGCCAATACGGCCATGTCTACAGAAAGACGCAAGGCGATCCTCCTGAAGATCGACCCTAAATTGGCCGCTATGACTGTGGCGGAGCCTGATCCAACTGAGGAGGGTCTCCTGTTTGGCACGTCCTTCGTTAAGGATATGGGTGCTTATGTCAAGACCTTTACGGCTATTGACAAGGCACAGGCGAACATGAAGCGCGTGTTCGCGCCTAAGGTTTTCGGAGGGGCCGGGCGTAGCAGGAACCGTCCACCCGGCCGTGGTTTCCGAGGCGCATTCCGCGCAACCAGAGGTTCCTTCTTTCCCTCGAGAGGATTTCAGGAACAGAGAGCCCCTCCCTTCTTCCCGGCAAGAGGTCGGGCCTGGGGATCCAGATACCCCCGCGGTGGTACCCCCGGCAGACGTCCTTACGGTGAGTACCCTTTCTTTCCCTCACGCTCAAGTTCAGGTGGCGGGGAGACTGGCCTTATTTTGTCAAGAATGGGCAAAGATCACCTCAGATGCTTGGGTTTTACAATGTGTAAGGGGTTTTCGTCTGGAGTTTGTTTCCATGCCTGTCCAGTTTTATTCCCCCAGAGAACTGTCCCTCCCTCCGGAGCAGGACGAGATGATTTCCACGGAAGTGGTGGAGATGCTGTCCAAGGGCGCTATAGAGGAGTTGCCGTTCGCCGCCCCAGGCTTTACGAGCAATTTATTCCTAGTGCCCAAGAAAGGAGGCGGTGTTCGCTCTGTCATAAATCTTCGCCCACTCAACGCTTTTCTACGCTACCAACACTTCCAGATGGAAGGTATACACTGCCTCAGAGACCTCCTACGTCAATCGGACCGGTTGGCCAAGCTGGACCTGAAGGACGCATACTTTACGGTCCCCATCGCTTTGGAGTTCCGGGATTATCTCCACTTCACCTGGCATGGGCGTCGTTGGCGCTTCACCTGCCTGCCTTTCGGTCTCTCCTCGGCCCCTTGGTGCTTCACCAAGCTCATGAAGCCCGTGGTGACCTTCCTCCGAACCCGGGGGGTTTGCCTCATTATCTACCTGGACGATATCTTGATCTTATCCCAGTCACGAGAGGATCTCCTCACACACCTGGGATGGACGACCGATCTTCTGCAGAAGTTGGGATTTCTGATCAATTGGAGCAAGTCGGTCCCAGTCCATAGAGTTTCTGGGTTTTCAAGTGGATTCCATCCAACAGTTCCTGTTCCTCCCGGATGCCAAGGTAAAAGCCATCCAGAAGGAAATTCGGAGGGCCCTCCGTGTTCCAGATTTGTCGGTCAGACAACTGGCGAGAATTATCGGCCTTCTCGCGGCCTCTATTCAAGCAATCTTCCCAGGCCCCCTGCATTACCGAGCGCTCCAACGGCTCAAGGGATCACGACTTCGCTCCGGTCATTCATATGAATCTCGGATAACGCTGGACGAGGAGTCCAGGGACGAACTAGCGTGGTGGTTGGCGCACATGGAGGCATGGAACGGAAGAGCCATCTTCGGTTCGGCCCCGGATGTGGTGATAGAGTCCGATGCCAGCTTACACGGCTGGGGCGCTCGTTGTGGCGACGTCTCCACAGGAGGAAGGTGGTCCGACACAGAGAAGTCGTTACACATCAAATGCTTGGAACTTCTGGCAGGTGCCTTCGCGATCCGCAGCCTTGCCCCGGGGAGGGCGAATTGTTGCGTTCTCCTCAAGATGGACAACGTATCAGCAGTTCGTTACATAAATCACCTAGGGGGCACGAAATCCAAAATGTTGGCGACTCTGGCAAAGGATTTTTGGCAGTTCTGCCTCTACAACAACGTTTCGGTGACGGCGGAACACATCCCAGATCTGGACAATTCGGGGGCGGATTGGAATTCCAGACACTTACGGGACTCCGGGGACTGGCATCTACACGCTTCAGTGTTCCTGTGCCTGAACAGGTTGTGGGGCCGGTTCCAGTTGGACCTATTCGCGTCACGCCTGAACACTCAGCTACCGAGGTTCTACAGTTGGAGGCCGGACCCGGCTGCAATAGCGACAGATGCCTTCCTCCAAGAATGGCCACCGGGTAACCGGGTCGCACGCACGATCTCGAAAATGGTCCGCCACGATTGTCGGATGGCTTTGATCACCCCTCTATGGAGGTCTCGCCCATGGTTCCCTCGGCTGATGGAACTGTCCATAGACTACCCTCGTTTGCTTCCGGTATTCCAAGACCTCCTTCTGGATCCGGATGGGAACTCTCACGACCTGGTGTTGCAGCATCAGCTACCCCTCATAGCGTGGTTCCTTTCAGGGGACCTTGGGTTATCCCAGACGTTTCGCAGTCAACTCTCCGACTCCTCGATAACGCCTGGGCCCCGGGTACACGGACAGCTTACCGACATTCATGGAGATCATGGTCTGGTTGGTGCATGGAACGGGCAATGGATCCCGTATCTGCCCCTCTGCCTTTGATTCTGGAGTTCCTCACGTTCCTATTTGATTCGGGCAAGGCATACCGCACGATCAACCTTTTCCGCTCAGCTATCTCAGCCGGTCACGAAGGTCTAGACGGTTCTCCGGTCGGCAAGCATCCTTTTGTCTGTCGACTTCTCAAAGGTATTCGCCTTGCTTGTCCTCCTCGACCTCGTTTTGCCGCCTTTTGTGACGTCAACGTGATGCTACAGTTCCTATCGTCATGGTACCCCAATTTGGAGCTGACTCTCAAGCAATTGTCTGCCAAATTGGTTATGTTGCTGTGCCTGATTTCTTGCAGAAGAGTCTCTGACGTTCGGGCCCTGGACTGGGACGCCGTTGCACTCACCCCGGAAGGCGTCACCTTTGACATTTCCAGGAGGACCAAGTCTGCGTCTAAGTCACTTACATACCCTAGGTTTTCAGACTGTCCAGCGCTCTGCCCGGTGGATTGCATCAAGGACTATCTGGATGTTACACGTCCCCTTCGCATGACAGACCTGCACGATCTGTTCATATCCTTTAAATCACCTCACCGGCCGGTTTCGACTCCTACTCTAGCACGTTGGGTGGGCTGGCTGCTATCCTCCGTGGGTATAGACACCTCAGTATTTATGCCTCATTCTGTAAGGGGCGCGATGGCCTCGAAAGCCTCTTCAGTCGGATGTCGCCTGGAGGACATTATGCGAGCAGCGGATTGGTCTCGGGAATCGACCATCCGAGCCTTCTACTTCAGACCAATTGAGCACGTCGCATCTCGTGTGGTGGCACAGCTTTGAACTTGCATAATATGAGCCTCCGTGTCTTTAATAAAATTCCCAGATTTTACTAGTAACATGACGTAAAGTCATGATTTTATTAAAGACACGGAGGCGAGTATTATTCCCTCCCACCCTCCCGGAGTGGAGTTGGGATACGAGATGCTTGGTGGCTCTACAGGTATGTTTTTCAGTTTGGTCTGTATTCTATCAGTTTGATTTGCATCTTTTGTACGGATTGTGGTACCTTTATGTTGTGTACTAATTCTGTTGTTTTTATATTCCAGTACTCTGTTTTACCTGTGTCTCCCCAAGACTATGTTTGGTAAGTTTGCAGTTCTGAATTAAGAAATTACCATATTTCTCTATCTTTTTTAGCTTGAAATTGTCGCATCGTTTCCCGTTACCCTGTTTCGACCAAGTGGGACATCGTTCATCTTACCTGGTCTTCGGTTCGCAAGAAAGAGGGGGATTGTGGGAGACACAAGACTTATATAGCTACTTCCTATACCCTGTGATTGGCTACCTGTTGTGCCTATACAGTTTTTTCTTCAGTTTTGATAATATTTATATTTCTCTTTCTTTGCTGCTGAGGAAATAAAGAAAGAGTTATGCATAATACTCGCCTCCGTGTCTTTAATAAAATCATGACTTTACGTCATGTTACTAGTAAAATCTGGGAATTGTCACTGTCTTTCAAGCTGAATATTAGCTGCAAATGAGGCTATCACTTCAGTTAATAATTCCAAGTATCAGAATCTGGGTGTAAGCGGCCCTTATAGGGCAAAGCTATGTCAGTACACTTGTTTTTGTTCTTTTGAGTGCCTCACATTTATTTAGTTTTTAATAATTATTTATTTTGTTTATAATATTTATTATTTGCATTAAATACTACACTATAAGCGTCTTTTTTTAGTTTTGTGCTTATATATACACATTTAAATTGTGAGTGGTCTTGTGAATTATAAGGTAATTATATCCCAATTGTGTCCATAGACACATTCCTTGATATATAAGAGGAACTTAATACCGCCAAGAAAATTGAGGGTTCCTAGGCTAAAAGCAATTTTCCTTTCTAATCACAATACTTCATGTGTGTGCTCGCCCCACATTTAGAAGAGATGGTCTCTGTTACTGCAAATATCTTCTCTTGTGGGGGATATTATGTTTTTATTTTCCCAGGAATTCTTATAATAGGGGTCCCTGCCTCTGCAAGAACTAGTACCTCCTCTGCAGCTCCTTGATCCGCACCATCATGTTAAGATGTCCCTGGGAGTACTGCTCGATCACATCCCTCACGTCATATGGTTTGCGAGCTTGCTGGGAGAGTGGGTTAGAAACATAGCTGGTCATAGAAATGTACTAACTATAATTCCAAAAGGTATAGATCAGTGGTTTCCAAACCAGTCCTCATGACGCACCAACAGTCCAGGTTTTGTCAGTAACGCCATAGGAATAAAAAAGGGAAATGCATACATTCTAGATTGTTGGTGGGCTATGAGGAATGGTTTGGGAACCACTGGTATAAAGTACATTATCATATTCTAATAATCTGGATCTGGAACAATCTGGATCTCCCTAAAGGTTCTAATTCCTGCCAATCAAAATAGCATAATATAAATAGATAGTATAGCAATGCTGTATTCATTAATGCTGTTGATAATCTCAAACATCTTTGCATCCATGGATACAAAATGTAATAACATTACATTCTGTATATAGCATTATATAGTACACCACATGCATATTTAAGCATGTGGTATACTATATAATGCTGTTTGACAGTGTTTATGGTTTAACATGCTGAAATTAAGGGACATACAGTCCACTAGCCTCGCCGTAAAAATGTATGCTTACAAGGTGGTGTTCTACTCACCTGAGCTAAATTGGCGCTCAAAAATGTCTAGGGGTTGAGTGTAAATTTGGAGCCCTGATATAGTAATCTAGATTTTAAAAGATTCATAGTTCAACCTTCCACTTAACTGTTTCTAATGTTGATTCAGAAGTAGGAAAAACTCCAATCTGAAGCAATTTCCAAATGTGCCGCAAAGATGGGAATAAACATTTTGACTTCACTATGATAATCACTTATCTCCTTGAATCAACAACCACACATATGAACTATTATACAGGGGTAGGCAACCATCGGAACTCCAGATGTTGTAGACTCCCCCTGATGCTTTGCCAGCATTATAGCTGTAAGAGCATTAGGGTAGATGTAGTCCATAACAACTGGCGTACCAAAGGTTGCCTACCCCTGAACTATTACATCCATTACAACATAAAGGCACTGTAGTCACCCAAGAACAACTTTAGCTTAATGATGCAGTATTATTGTATAGATCATGTCCCTGCAGTCTGACTGCTCAATTACCCACAATTTACGAGTTAAATCACTTTGTTTATTTAGCCCTAGTCACACCTCCTTGCATGTGATTTACACAGCCTTCCTAAGCACTTCCTGTAAAGAGAAATCTGATGCTTAAACTTCCTTTATTGCAAATTCTGTTTAATTTAGAATTTATTCACTCCTGCTCTGTTACTAGCCTGCTAGAACCTGTGGGAGCCTCCTGTATATAATTAAAGTTCGATTTACAGAGAAGGAGATAAAAACGTTTAACGCAAGTTAACATCTGATTGAAAATGAACCCATTTTGTTTTCATGCAGACTGTCAGTCACAGCCAGGGGAGGTGTGGCTATGGCTGCATGAACCGAAACAAAAGTTATTTAACTCCTAAATTGTAGAGAATTGAGCAGCGAGACTGCAGTGGCATGATCTATACACAATAACTGCTTCATTAAGCTGAAGTTCTGTTGATGACTATAGTGTCCCTTTAAAGGGACACTATAGTCACCAGAACAACTACAGCTTAATGTAGTTGTTCTGGAGAGTATAATCATTCCCTGAAGGCATTTTCATGTAAAAACTGCCATTTTAGCCAAAAGGCAGTGCTTACATTGCCCCCTAGGGAGGAAGTGGCCACTGGAGGTGCTTCCCGGGGCAGTGCTGCACAGTGGGAAGCACTGTCATTCAGCGTCTCCATACTCTGCATGAAGGTGCTGACCTTTCTTCATAGAGATGCATTAAATCAATGCATCTCTATGAGGAGGTGCTGATTGGCCAAGCCACTATTTCGCCCCACCCCATCCCATCCCATCTCCTCACTATGGGAAAGCATTGAGTTGTCTGAAATCATACATTCTGATGATGTCAGAAGGCAGATCGAGGTTAGGGCCAGCGCCGGCGGACTTGCATGGCGCAGGAAAAAAGGTACCCTTTTTTTTACCTTTTAAGGGGGCTAAGGGGGGGGGGCGGGGGCAAGCTACGTAAATGGTGGTTTTAACACTATAGGGTCAGCAAAACATATTTCTGTTCCTGACCCTGTAGTTTTCCTTTAAGTGCAACTCATGTGGGTAGTCCTTAAACTCTTTGGTATCCCTAATTCTAGCCCTAACCTAACCTGATAAACAGTGATATAATAACACTGCTCTCTAATAAATGGAATGGCCGGAAAGCATTGCTGTATTGAATATAGATGCTTATTAATATCAATATGGTGGTATCTTTCTCAGTCTTTACCTCTGCCATTCTCTATTCTCTCTTCCAAGCCTTAGTTTCCAAGCCCTACATCTACTTAACTTTTTGTGCAAGCAATCAGTTTTTCATACCTGGAATTTTCTGCGTGCCACAAAATACTGCATTCTGCGCGTCACCTTCACCGCTATCCTGTGAGCGTCTGTAAGCCTGGGTCAGAGTGAGAGATAGCTGTGCCTACTACATGTGATGACATAGTGACAGGAACGTGCAGAATACTAAACAAACCAACCAGAAGCCATATAATAGAATGACTAGCTCTCTCTCTGCACTAGTAACACATACACATACATTTGATTTTAAATTATATTTAAAAAAATACATAAAAATATAATCTTTTATTTGATTTAGAGGTTAATTCAATAATGGGCAATTATTGGGAATGTCTCTGTATTAGCAAAAGAAAAGTTACAGATGAGTATAGTTTCAGACCTTCTAAACAGTGCCTTGAAATTCTATAGAATGCATGTCTATTCTAAGATTAATGTAATAAATAAAATAAATAAAAAAGCAATATGTAATATAGAGAATGGAAAATTAAAACCTTAATGAAATAGTATTTGTAAATCTGCAAATAATGGCACTGAGAGTTTTTGTGGTCTATAATTGTATTAATCTGTATCTGTTAAATTCTACACAATTTGCCTGGAATTTATGCAATCTCCATACATTACACAGAATGTTTATAATCCCAGTTTGTCTGTAACAAATCCTTGTAAAATGATTGATACACATTTTATGCTGTATGCACAGTACTCTTACTATACGTACATGCTTGGTATTGTAAGAATATTAAATAGTTAACTTGTTTATATGTATTTTATGCTTTTATAAGGTTTATAACATGATTATTGCTGACTGAAGGGATATTGAATACTTACATAATATGCTGACTGTGACAGACTAAGGTATTTCTTCTATAGGATGTAAGACAATGCTAAATTTCAGGATGTCTTGCCCATTCCGATTTTAAGGATATTCTTTTCCAGACGTATGCAAAAGCTTATCTTTCCATTGTCAGAATAACGTAATATAAGGAAGTAATAAATCTTATAGTCTGTACTGTAATGAATGGCATATACCATGGCTAATGTAAGCAAACTATGTATAAAAGCCAGCTCTGGAATACACTCATTTGAGAGTCTTGTAAAGCTGTTGTCCGTGTGTTATTGCTTACAAATGATTCTCCATCAACGTTGATTATGGTGACCGAGGGATCGAGAACCGAGGGGATTAGAGTCCATTACAACATTAACCCTTTCAGCTTGGTGTCTAGAAGTGGGATAGAAGTTGGATCAGCAAAACCATTGCGGTGAGTAGCCTTTTTGTGTCTTATTGACGCTGATTGTCTATGACCCCCGTTTGGTTCAGTAAGACTGTATCCAGTAGATAGGAAAGGTGTAAGGACTCTAGTTATATTGAGACTATAAGAGGTCTCCGGTTTATTAGACATTTGGTCTAAATATATATAGGGGTTCTTGGTAACCCAGGTTAGTATCTAAGATAGATACAGGTTTTTGAGACCATAAGAGGTCTCCGGTTTATTATAGGGTTTTGGTAACCCAGGTTAGTATCTAAGATAGATACAGGGTATCTCAGGTAGATACAGGTTTTGAGACCATAAGAGGTCTCTGGTTTATTAAGTCTATAGGTGTTCTGAGCAGCACGGTTTGTAGATCTATAAGTATAACCCAAACTTCTCTTTCTCCCGGTCACCTTTGTTTGTCTTAAGTGTTTCTTTGTGGGTGATTGTTTGTCTATATTGGGGACACACTTTGGTAAGTTAGTAGTGTCCCCACTCTGAGTCAGCAGTATGGGAAATGTGAGTTCATGTCCTGAGTGACCAATATATGTACATGTATATGTGTGTGTATGTATATATGTATATATGTATGTATATATGTGTGTGTATATGTATATGTGTATATATAAGATAGCAGTACTTTTAAACAAATGGAGGTTTTAAAAATACATAGGGATTAAGGAGAGAACGCAGGTAACTTGTTTTTCTTTGGTTTTTACCATATATTGGGGCTGATGTGTACTGTAGTCCTTGCTGCTGCCCAGTGGTGATGGGAGTGAGCGTAGGACTTATCTTTTTGCAAGATAGCAGTACTGTATATTAGAAAAGAAATGATTTATAGGTTGTACCTGATAGACCTACTTAAATCTTTTTACTTTATTCTTTCTGTCGCATAGAAGTATAAGTTTATTACTCTGTTTTATTGTAAGTTATTTCACATGGGAACTGTGTGCCTGGAATGATTGTTGCTTTAAAAATACTATAAGCCCACTACACTTATTATGAGAGTGGGATAGTGTAAATGTGTTACATTGTTTGCATGATGAGCTCAGTATATTTTATAACTGAGACAAAAAGTCACTTCATTAGTATTTGAAAGTTAATTCCCCATATGTGATTAATTGTATAGAAACACCAATCAGCACATCTTCCCTGCCCTGTGTGTTTGTTGCAGAGGATCCATACTGTAAATATAATTTTTGTTTGAAAATAACAGAGCAACATTTACATTTTCAGCGGTCCAACACATGCTTTATTTTGCACTGTAAACTAACCTTTTTATTGCAACAGGTACCTTTTAAATGATCCAGTGTAATAACTACTGCTTGTGTCTTCTATGTCTCACATTATGTGATATTTTAAATTGTGGTATATAGCCTGAATCAGAAATCATGGACAAAGGTTTTTACCTGTGTTACTAAGGGCTCTTGGAGACTGACCGGTCTAAAGGTTTGCCATGCCTTTAAAACATGGTATAGTATAAATTTTTTAAGTCTCTGAGAGTTCTGAAAGATTCTGGTGAAACCATGTCTGTTTAATCTGGTCCAGATGTTTGTTCAATTTCTATAGGATTTAAGTTGATGCAGCATCATCTCAGATTAGTTAATGGAAGTTTTATACAAATAGTTGAGTTATGAGCGCGCTATATAAATGGATCCTTTCTTTATATATAATACTATAGTAGATTAAAGTAATGAAGTTAATTAAGAAAATGTATACATAAGAATCCCTAAAATAAATCTAAACTAAAATTGGTATACCTTCCAATAATATGTTCTGAATACAGCTGTTAACTGTTTATTTTGTGTAAATGGTGATTGTGATAATGTGTGATAAGTGTGCAGTTTAACTTGAAAGTGGTTTAATTTATGTTGCTGTATTGTTTTAAATTATATGTGAATCAGTTTGTCACAGTCTAGTGATACTGATAAGAATGACAGCCAAATAACCTAGCAAATAACTGTTTTATTAGTTGTTGAATACTAGCGTTTTGGCCAAGAATAGTTGGAGATTTGGAGGTGTTAGTTTAAGATTGCTTTTATATTGTGTCTATCTGTGTTTCCTATGAGGGAGACAGAGTGTGTAGTTGTGTGCCCATAAATGTGATTTCTGTATTGGCATATCTGCTGGGTACCCATTATGTGTTTCTACAAAGATATTGTTTTATGAGATGACTAATATTACATGGGATGCTGAGTATGAGTTATATGGTTTGAAATGAATTGGTGATTATGAGCTTAGTACTTCAGTAAGATGTGCTAAAATTTGGAACAAGGTGGAAGCTGAAATGTTGGGATTATGGAAGAATAAGCAGTCTATATTCACTGCTTTGGCATTTAAGCAGGATGCAAAGGAAGAGATTGGTAATATGATTTTTGTAAAGAAATTTTACAAGTGTTGGAAGGATGAGGCAGGTTTGATGTCTGGAGATGATATAGATCTCTTTAAAATACAGTCATGCCTTGGTAATATGTTGCCACAGTATTCTTTGCTTGTGAAACAATTGATTTCAGACTGGGCCAATTTGGATAGCTCAGATTTTCTTACCAAGGTTATAGAAAAGGAAAATGCAGGTTGTTTTGAATTAAGAAAAGATTTAGGAAAGTAAGGTTGCTTATTATGCTCAGGGATTGCAACATATTATGTCCAGCTACACAGGCTGAGAGCGAGGATGGGATGGAGCACATAAAGCCCGTGGAAGGGGTGGTCAAAGAGGGGCAAGGGGATGGAGACAGGGAAATCAGGGTTATAGGGGCAGGGGTAACCAAGGAGGAATAGACAGGAACACTTGTTTCAACTGTGGCCAATATGGCCACTGGAGGAATGAGTGTCCACACCCCAGGAAACCCCAGGAAACCCCACACACCCCAACAACCCCACCTTTCTCAAAATATGCCCTGTAGGCAAGAACAACACCAGACCCACTCCCAACACCACTGGCCAGCATATCGCTTAGTTCAGGACTTTAGAGCCCTGAATAGTTTAATTGTGCCCATTTCACCCATTGTCCCTGATGTGACATCCCTCATTACAGCCATTCCACATGATGCCACTTGCTTCACTGTCATTGATTTAAGTAATGCATTTTTTCTATACCTATTGATCAAGAGACACAGCTACTTATGGTTTTTACTTTTTGAAGGCTGTCAGTTTACCTGGACACGCTTACCCAAGGCTATGTGGATTCCCCAGCTGTTTATTCGTTGGTACTCCAACATACTCTAAAAAACATGGACCACCGGTCATGGTTCCGTCCTTTTTGCAAAATGTTGATGATTTGTTGTTATGTAGCCCTAGCTATGAGGAAAGCACTGTGGATACTGTCAGCAACTGTAGGTCACAAGGTTGTTAAACACAAAATGCAATTGTGTAAATCAAAGGTTGAATACTTAGGTTTTGTTCTGGCTTTAGGCACCAGACAATTGAGTCCAAAATGTATTGAGGTCATTCAGAGGATTCCTACACCCACTATTCGGAAGGAGTTGCTCACCTTCCTCGGCATGATTAATTACTGCCACCAATGGATCCCTGAATTCTCCCATTATGACTCAATCCTAAGGGAGGCTGTACGTTCTGACAGCCCTGAAAATGTCTGCTGGTCACCAGACATGCTAGCTGCATATATTGCCCTTACAGTTGTTATTGTGCAAGCCCAGGCTTTAGGACTACCTGTGTATTGTAAACCATTTCATTTGTATGCTTGGGACAATTGTAAAACCATGGCCGCGGTCTGTGCACAAGAGCAAGGAGGCGGTATGCGTCCCATAGCATTCTTTTCCAAAGTAGTTCGAGCTCCGGTACAGGGTATGCCGGCGTGTCTCAGAGCATTGATAGCATGTGCAATGGCTGTTGAAACTGCTACTACTATCACACTAGGGCATCCTACAATACTTCATGCCAGTCACCAGGTCACTCAGCTGATAACAAATCTCACCACACAACACATGACAGCCCAGCACTTAAGTGGTTATGAGATTCTTTTTTTAAATACCCACAATCTGTCTTTTGGATTAAACAAGGTTTAGAGAAAGATCAAAATGATCTGTTCTCTAAAGAGGGGAGAATAGGCATACTTGAAGAATAGGCATACTTGAAGCAAGCGGATTTATTTTCATCAGTCAGGCACATAGCAAGCACCATTCAATTCCTCATGAATTCATTTTATATTAGGAATCTCAGGCAGCATGTACAGTCTTTTGTAAGATCGTGTGAACGCTGCTCTTTTTACACACTTACAGATTGATTTTATTCATGTATCCAAAATTGGTAAGAAACAGCAATACTTACTGGTCATAGTTGCTCAGTTTAGTAGATGGCATGAGGCCTTTGTGACATCTAGGGAAGATGCTAGTGAAGTTTATTGTTACTGAAATTATTCCCAGGTATGGCTGCCCTCTGCAGATTGGCTCTGATAATGGCCCGGTTTTTGCCAGTAGGGTTGCCCAGGAACTTGCTAAATTCTTGCAAGTTACCTGGCAGTTTCATATACCCTATCATCCACAGAATACAGGGGTAGTTGAAAGGATGAATAGGACTATTAAGGAAAAGCCCAGAATTTACCCAGGAACATGGGAAAATTGGACTAGATATCTACCAGCTATTTTAGCTGAGATAAGAATATATCCCCACAAGATTAATTGTTGATAAAACCGAATGGTATGTATGACAATGTTTCTTCGCAGTTTTCCCTTACCTTCACAGGAACCTACTCATTCATACCAGCCCGGTGACAAGGTGTATATCCGTCAGCTGAACAGGACCAAGAAAGGAGGATACCCTTTTGGACCACCTGCTACTGTGATTGCTGTAACCAGAACCGCTGTCCTCACAGATTCCCATGACATCTGGATTCACGCATCCCGAGTGAAGCTGTGTCCAAAGAGGGGAACCAAGGAAGACAACACCACTCCTCGCTCGGAAACAGAAGAATTTCTCCTCAGCGAAGCATCATGGCTTTTACACCATATCGTAGATTGAGAGGATCATACGTGCCTGAGACCAAGATTATGTTGTGCGCTATGCTTTCTGGAGTTGTTATACTCCCTCTGATATTGTTCCTTGAATGCCATTATGAGTACAAGTCAATGGCAAGTTCTGGAAAAAGACTCTGACATGATGAACAATTCTTCAATACCCCCAGCCCAATTAGGCCTTAGCCCTCATCTAGCATTCGTCACACACGCCCCCTCAAGAACCTTTCTCCACCACCTTTCTATCAGCATGCAATATGCAATCATTCATTGACTGAACGCATTTGGATGAATTGGACAAATAGTAACCCTTATAAGTACCAGATACCCATATGAAATGTGTCTACAGCTAATGAAACCGATGCATTATGTTTGTTTAAAGGTTCACAGAAAATTGTTAGATCTTATAACGCAGAAATGTGCACAGTTAAGGTTACATATCAATGTAAACAGACAGGCCTTATTACTTTTAATAATGATTATATAACTGGTATCATTAATTGGAAAAGGGGACAAATGTTAGTCATTATGAACGACACTACAATTGAGAACTATACACTACCTTATATTTTTACACCTTATTACTGTCCTTTATCCTCTACCATAGAACCAAAAGTCAACCACGACACACACACACCTATTCCGTCCACATGTATTAATACAACTGCCTTCTTACAAGCTGTACATGTGTCATTAAAAATCACTACTCCTGTTGTAACATTATGTAACACAGCAAACAAAGGCAGAAAAGGGAATGGTATGACACACTGTTAGATGGTGCTGGAACCACTATGGGTATACTAAATAGTTATAGATATGGAGACCCTCAAGAATAAGTTAAACACAGCCAGCATGCATATAGGGACTGGTTTCCATGCTACTGCAAATTGGGCTCCAATTGTTGTTAAATCACAGGTTATAGGATTGGATTTAGATAAATCAATGTATAATTATTTAGATAATTTAACTGTTGCAACTATGAAATTCACTACAGATCTAAGTAATTGGAGTACTTGTGCCATCAGGTATTTATGGATACAACAACAAGGATTGGCATTAGAAAACACACTAATGATTCCCAAACTAGAGAAGATTAGAGGAAAGCGTAACCTCACAGATAATGAATGGTTACTTCTAAAACCCCAATCCAGTAAATGCAATGGATGGTTAACTGGTAATGTTTCACATTTTTCATGTTCATGCTATTTTACATTATATCATACATCATCAAAGGATGTTAAATTAGCTTGTCAATTTAACACATTACCAGTACCAGTTTATGATCTTTTTGCCAAGAATTTAACCTGGTGGGCACCCACATACACAGGGGACTATATTTTTCCCAAAGATAACATACACAGGTAGCCACACATATCCTAAAAGGAGAACTCCTTAAGGTGAGTTCACAAATTCAGAATGATTCAGCCCATCATTGGTACAATGCTTTACTGGTTGGTCCCCTACTGGATCCCAGATAATGAAATCATTCTTCTATCCTTTTGTTATTATAGTCCTGATTTTATTGTGTATGATTTTATATAACTGTCACCTTAGTTGTACATTGAGGAAGAGAGTACAGAAATGAATCCATAATGCAGAACAGAAACAATTAGAAATTCTCCTCTCTGCCACTGGAGGGTATCAACCCATCTTTAAACTGGGCCTTAGGAATTACCACATGGGAATCGAGGTGAAGAAATTAATGAAAGTCCCGCAGGGAGTGACTAGCACCCCTGAAAATACCATGTGGAAGTTTCTCTGTCCTGGTAAGATTTTATCGATAAGATGAGCAATTGTTTTATTGCTCAAAGAGGGGAATGTAAGAATATTAGTTAACTTGTTTATATGTATTTTATGCTTTTATAAGGTTTATAACATGATTATTGCTGACTGAAGGGATATTGAATACTTAAAGTCAATATGCTGACTGTGACAGACTAAGGTATTTCTTCTATAGGATGTAAGACAATGCTAAAATTTCAGGATGTCTTGCCCATTCCGATTTTAAGGATATTCTTTTCCAGACGTATGCAAAAGCTTATCTTTCCATTGTCAGAATAACGTAATACAAGGAAGTAATAAATCTTATAGTCTGTACTGTATTTGCATATACCATGGCTAATGTAAGCAAACTATGTATAAAAGCCAGCTCTGGAATACACTCATTTGAGAGTCTTGTAAAGCTGTTGTCCGTGTGTTATTGCTTACAAATGATTCTCCATCAACGTTGATTATGGTGACCGAGGGATCGAGAACCGAGGGGATTAGAGTCCATTACAACATTAACCCTTTCAAGGTCTGCTAGTCTGGGATTCAGCCAGCACTCACCGCGCAAAAGACATGAAGAACTTCCTTGCAGAGAGAAGAATAGATCAAGTAATGATTCCCGCAGGAATGACTGCTTATCTCCAAACTCTTGATATTGCAATAAACAAACCATTCAAGGACCATTTGCGCACGGAAATCAATGAATACACTGAAAATAGATTGGTCAGAAATCAGCGTGGAAACTTGGTGAAGCCTAAACTGCTAGAGGTCGTGACATGGGTGAAGAATTCTTGGGATAAAATCACTGACAGCTGTGTTGCCAAAGCACTACGAGCAGGCTACATGGACAAGAAGTACTCGTTTAAGGAGAGCTATATTGCTTTACATGAGAGATTAGGCCCAATGGTTCAAAAGGAAATGGAGATGCAAGAAATTCAGGCTGGCAATCAGGGTTTGGAGAGTTATGATGATATTCCAGAAGAAGATGACATGATTGTAATTGAATAAATGTTGTTTACGGTAGGGAGAGCTACTGTACCATATATTGCTGTAAATGAGAGATTAGGACCAATGGTTCAAAGGAAAATGAAGATGACTGTACCGGTATTTGAAGAAAAGTTGTTTAAATGTTGTTTAAATGTTGTTCAATGTACATACCGGTACCGTAAATAAATAAGCCCTACCCTGAAAATAAGCCCTAGTGTGTTTTTTGTGACTAAAATTAATATAAGACCCGGTCTTATTTTCGGAGAAACACGGTACATAGTCCGTGTGGCAACCTATCAATGATTTAATCTTGAAGGTCTCTCCCGTGATATAACCAATAAATTCCTTAGTTCTCTCCATAAAGGCGGTGGTACATGCTTTACACACATTACATCCCCTAAAGCAACCCGATTCAGGGGGTACATTAGAACTATTCATTTTAATAGCATAGCTAGGGGCTAGCATATTTTTAAAGTTCTTATTTTTCTTAAATATCACCATCGGGCGTTCAGACAAAGAATTACCCAAAATGGGATCCTGTTGTAATATGGGCCAAAAATCACTTAGGCTCCTTTTGATCTTAAAATGGTCCGTATTGTATTGGGTGACAAAGGCTGATTTAAAATTCATATTCCCAGCAGTATTAGGAGGTTTATCCTCCAAGAGTTTATTCCGTTCAAGAAGACCAATTGATCGAATTTCTTTTTCTAACGTATTCTTATTATAGCCCCTTGCACATAATTTATTTTTTATATGGGAAGATTGAATCTGGAAGTCTTGAGGGCGAGAACAATTACGTCTCAATCTGGTAAATTGGCTCCGTGCTATACCCCTTAGCCAAGGCTTATGGTGACAGCTTTGTTGATGTACAAAGCCATTCCCATCTGTTGGTTTAAAAAAACATTTAGTTTGAATTTGACCCTGATCACAAAAAATATCAAGATCCAAAAAATGGATCTCATGTTTATTCCACTCAGGGGTGAAGACAAGATTGTATAGGTTGGAATTTAAATATTGAACATAATCAGAAAAACTATTGGAGGACCCCTTCCAAATGATGATCACGTCATCGATATAGCGCCGCCAGAGCACCAAGTTCTCCCTCCAGTCATGCCGCGACCACACAAATAATTCCTCCCATCTACGCATGTAGGTGTTGGCATAACTGGGGGCGAACCTGGTGCCCATGGCGGTCCCTGTGATCTGTAGATAATACTGATCATTAAAAATGAAAAACTTCCGGAACGCGGAAGTGAAGGCAGACATCCACTTCCGGTTTCGGCTTTCACAT